CAGACACAGTTTTATAGCAGTTGTTCAACACAGACACTGCAGCAGCTAAATCGCCGCGCTCGGCGGCAACTCTGGCCTCGGATATTGCCTCCGCCGCCCGGAACCTATTTCGCTGCCTGTCCACTTCCAATGACACTACTTGTTGTTCATCTACTCTGTCTGGCCTCTGGATCTGAACCTCACTGGCCTCGCCCAAACTGACTTGCTCTTTGGTTATGGGGTCCTTGTAAACGCAATCAACCTTTAGCAGTGACATCTCCCCTGCGAACCCATCTACAGGAATTTTGAGTATCACCAGAAAATCCCTCTCTTCTTCGGCATACAAGTCTCCGAAAAAAATGGAGGCTAATCTTCCACGTTCTGTGATGCTGGCTTGGTAACTTCCTGCTTGAATTGAACCAAGCTGCAGACTTGGGTGAATGCATCTGAGTTCAACGTGGAGATCTTGCACCACTACACTTAAGAGGCCACCAATGCACTGAGCAAATGCATCCTGGATGGCAGATTCTGATTCGATAAATGAAAATGTGCCCCCTGATATGTCAGAAACCGAGTGCATCGTCGCGGCATCATGGTCAGCGCCGAATCCAAATGTGTGCACCGGTATCTGCTGCGTTCCAGGGCGGTTGTTGCGATTGATTGACACGGGAATAAGTGATTGATGAACTATTTGAGGATGGGCACTGCTAGGACCATTGAAAGTGTACGTATCCTGCCCATCAGATAGGAGTATAATGCTAGCAACAGGGTTCTTCAACTTGCGGTCTACCAACACCTTGGCACCTTTTCTCAATCCTTCAGCAATATTTGTCCCACCGTTTGATGTCAAAGAATTAACAGCCTGTAATGCCTGCTGTCGTCCAGTGTCGGTCATCCGACAAAGTGGGAAAAGGCGACGAGCAGTTGAGGAGAATGATATGACAGAGAGTCGATCAGAGGGGCCAAGATTCTGGATCACAAAACCCATAGCACGTTTGAGCAGGGCAAGCTTGGTACCTGCCATACTGCCACTAACATCAAGCACAGTTACTAGGTCAACTGGTGCACGAGAGGGTTGATTCGATGGAAAGGCAGCCTGGTTTCTGGTTGCATTTGAGAGAGGAGCCTTGATATGGACTAGCACGGAGAAGTGATCATGAGAAACTGATCTTGGAACAGCCGAAGTTTCTGGGTACGTTTTGACCTCCACTTTATCAATGCAACTACGATCAGTGGCACCATCATTTGATGTGTTTCTCTCGGTGGCATCAGTTGGGTGATCTAAAACTTCATCATCATCATAAACTACTGGTTCAGGGCCATGAAAAAGAGTGGAGATTTGTCTAGTTGTATCAGGGCGTGGAGGAGGCATCCGTTGAACAATGCTCATCCAGGGATCATCTTGGGCAAAACCTACTGGATTGATTCTAGGCCTAGCATTAGCACAATCCGGAATGGGACTCTGAAAAGGGATTTCTTTCCATTTAGCTCTGCAAACTGGGCAAATTTGGTTCCCATGCTTTACATTTGAGGCAATGCAGTTGAAATGGAAAGAGTGAGAACACTCTGCAGTGAATATGGCATGCCCATTCCCTGCTTTCATGGTAGTCAAACATATTGCACAGGTCCTCTGCAATTTAGAAAGATATTTTGATGAGAGAAGATCTAAATGAACATTCCACCAAATGGGCAAGTCCAGATGTAAAGTTAAGACAGATACTGGCAAGTAAATGCTTTTGTCCAATATTAAGAAGCATTACGATTTTATATTCCACAGATCATGTTTAAAAGAATGAAGAGTCTTGCATGAAATCATGAAACACAGGGAGTAAAAAACTCAACAAACTGGAGAATATGCCCAACTAAGTCTACGCTGCAGTACTATGGATTCTTAAAATAAACCTTTTTCTCCATTAAACAATTACAAAATTGGTTGCTTTTGTCAAATGGGTTGAAACATTTTTTTTCCCGAAAATCGTGCCACTGTTCGGATCTAAAACAAAGACCACAAAACAGTATGAGCTTTAAAAAGAAGAAATCATAAGTTGAACATAAAATGAAAAGGAATAAAGTTTTTAAAAGAGGAAATCATGAGTTGTTGTTGGTGTTGTTTCCCAATAGTTGATTTTCCAATCCCTTCCCCATTCCCACGACTTCTCTTTTGCCTCTCTTTCGTCGACCAGTTGTCACTTTACGATTGGTGAAGCATATTGCGAAAAATCTCAAAATCAACGACGGTCAAACGAGTTCTCTAAAATCACACCATGAAAAGGAGAGAGAGGGAAGGCATTGGGCTTATCAACAACGCAAAGCAGTTCCACAGGAAGGATTAAATCGAAAAAATATGAATCACTTGTATCCAAAATATTATCATCAAATCTTACTTTTCTCTTTTCCATGAAAAAGGGAACCATAGATAATAATTTAATATAGTACTTTTCCAATGAACAAAGGTTCTCAAAGAAGACCACTGCACAGTCTGCACTTATAAAAACAACACACAGCAGCCCCACCACACCCCACTTGATCAAACGATTGAAAGTAACACAAACCGCCAGAGACAGAAGCCGACAAGCCAATAGCCTCCTTCACAAATCACAAATAAGTTGTAATAATATATGGCATTACTCCAGAGACGCTGTACCCCACATGAATTACGAAAGAGGGTTAAAATATTTGAAAGGGATACGACCAGAAAACACCAATAGCCTCCGTCGAAAGTTGAAACGTATTGCACCATAACCGAACCCACACAACATTGTGAGCGAGTTGAAAGAAAAGGGGCTAAAGGGCTTCGTAAAGATAATATCTAATCGGGGTACGGGACGGGACGCCTCTAAAATTTTCTACAAATCAAATAATCGAGAGGATCATTAAGATTCAATTAGAAAAAATAGCAGAGGAAAAGAATTCAAAAGAACCCCAGACAAGGGGACAAACAAGATTGTAAAAGAAACAATTGAATAACAGGAGAATTGATGTCACGAATCAATCGGCAATTCCAAGATAGTCGAAATAGAAACACAAACCTTCGAAGACCTCGATCCGCTTTTGGAGACGCGGGGACTGGACGACGATTGAGTCGGCGTCGTTTGGCGGCAATTGGAACTACGGCCCATCGAAGAGATGGAATCGAACGATCTGGGAGCGGCGTTATTGGACGGCATGGTATCCCCTCCGGCGTGAGGAACGTGAAGACACATACCGGTGCCAAGAGCCATCTTCACTTTCCTCCATCTGCTCCCCATTTTGACAGAAATCTCAGTACCTCTCTGTGAATCGAACCTTTAAAGCTGGAACTAGAATCCCATGTGACGCAAAATGAGTAGGATCGCAAAATGTATAAAGAGGAGTGGTCCAGAAATTGCTCCAAAGTCTCTTCTCTCGTGGGCTACGAAAGTTGGAAAGCAGAGAGAAAAGAAGGGAAAGAAGAAGAGGTAGCCCTCAGAAGCAATGGCAATGGTAATGGTAATAATAATGGCTACCCAATAGAGGGAGTTGGTATTTGACCTTTGGGAGAAGGAAAAATGGTGAGAATCCGGAGAGGGAGGGAATGGTCAGAGAAAAGAGCAGCCTTTTTAGCTTCCTTTCTTTGTTTCTTGTAGGCTAAGATGTAAATCCCATTATAACTGCTCTGCTCTTCAATAACAACAATGGCCATTGCGACGTCTACGTCTCTATCTCTTTATTTGCCCTTTCCATTTTGATTATTTCCGATAACTGCCATTATTTTAATCTTTTTCCAATTTTTAAATAGTTTTATTTTAAGTTGGAAAGTTCTATCGTATATCTTGGAAAACATGCCCTTTACTTCACCGTTTCTAATTGTTGATTTCTTTATTAATTAATCTCTCTCTCTCTCTCTCTCTCTTTTTTTTTCCTTCTTCTTTTTAGGAAGTAAGTAGTCTATAATATCTATTTTTATTGAAATAAATTTGAGTATAAATATAAAATCTTTTAACTCTTCATATGTTATTTTTAAAATAATAATAATTTTTTTTAATGACATTGATCAAAAGTCAAAATAAAAGATTTTCTCTTCCCTTCTCAATTTTAACCATTTATTTTTACTTTACAAACTAGTGATGTTTAGAATACTGACCGGGATAGATTGAAACTAAGATTATTGAAAATCCAATTTTTTAAAATCCAATTTTTTAAAATTCAAATTCAAATGTCATATATTAACTTTTTTTAATCTAAAATAATCTACCTTTTATTTTAATATTTTATTAGTTAAATTCACTCTCCGATAATCTAGATAGAGTTGAGCTCGGCCACCTACATGAACGTACTCCTTTTTTTTAGCCTCCTACAAATTATATTCACCTATACCAACATAAAGGTAAGATTCTATCATTTCTATCCTTCGATCTTGAACTTCGTCACCTCCAATCACAAACGTGTTTGAACCTTGGAGTACGATTTTAAGAGAGTTCTTCTCGCAATAATATATTTGAGTATCGACAGAAATGCAACATATATGATGAGATTCTGGCCAAGACTTGGACCCTAACCAACATTTCTATATAAGAGCAAACTCTTATTCGACAACATTTATTCCATTCGAGTTTAGTATTATTATTATTTTTTTTCATTTCATTTTATTTGCATTATATCAAAATAAATAAAAGAATTACTTTTGAAAAAATAATAAAGAAAAATTAAGGAGGGAAGAGACAAATTTTGAATCAAGAGACTAATTACATTTTACAAAGTCAAAATTGAAATAAAATATAAATGGAGAGATATTTTTTAATTAAATAAAAAAGATTCAGAAAATCAAAGTCAATCCTTCAAATCTATAATTTAACATTTTGATATC